AGGCGGAACTTTCCTAAAAATTGGGAAAATCCTCCTATATACCTTTAATTTTGTGTAAGAGAATCTTGCTTCTAGATTTTTGTTACTGACTTTGGTGAAGCGTGACCCTTTCAAGTACATGAAAAAATAACCTACTTTCTGTTTTAAAGGCAAACGGCAGCCATAAAGCATGTCTGATTAGAGCCCTGTTTACACATATGAGCACTGTACGTCTTAATCCGATTACAGCATGTGCATAAACAGACTCAAGCGTGAACAAATGCCCACAAACACCTACAAACTAAAACATAATCTTCACATGCATGTACATCTAAGCTCTGAAGCCATTGAACAGGTTTCTTCAACACATAAAATCCAATTGCCGATGGGTGATTAAAAAAAGCAATCTTTCAATTTGGTTCAAGGACTAAGAAACTTGCAGCGATTTCTTGCAACAGTGAAAAGATTCCTTCTGCCCAGAATGGAAGAATGTTGATAGGGGAAGAAAGGGGAAGGAAAGTGCATTTGTATGAATAGCTTGAAATGTGATTTATTCTTGGATTTCATGCCAGATTTGTCTAATGATTTTTAATTCACGGCGAGTTAGTGTCAGTATTTCCCGGTGCATCTGAACATGTCATAAACCAGACTGATTCAATTAGCACTGATGGAAAGATTTTAACTCAGCTCAGTCTGATGCAGAAAAGTAGACCGTGGATGCTGAAGCCAATACAGCCTTTTCAGTTTACAGTATTTAGTTCTTTTATAGCACTTTACCATTTTATGCTTGTTTTTCAGAGACAGATTCAAGACTTTTAGTATGTGAAGTGTACAGTTTGAAGGCCATGACACTGTATTGACTTTACACAGCTCTCGTGGGCTTTCTATGGCCCAGATTTAAGCTCATCTTGACCCACAAATTCAGTTGATTATGGGTGAGTTTAGAGCATACAATGAGGATATCATGAGTGAATGTGTATGAATTATTGTCATTGGTTCATTGGTTCATTTGAATATAGCACTTGCACTGCTATTGTCACTTTCATTTCATTTGTCCATTGCGTGAAAGAGAATCCATTTTAACATGTTTGCACATTTCCTGTGTTTTGCACAACCTGAGTGATCCTATTTAAGCCAAATGTGACGTATAAATTTCTCCGTTGTGATAGCAATAAAGACAATATTATCTTGTCTTAATTAGACCAGACAACGACAGAGACACACACAACATAACGTTTTAATGTCTGATCTGGTTTTGGCAAATCTGTTGTGATTTTGGCATTCAAAAATGTTGTTAAAGCTGTACTTTCAAAACACATGCTTTGGAGCTAACTTACAGATTATATTTGATTTCAATTATTATAGCGTTCATTTATCTTGCGCTGTGTGCTCCTCATTCCTACTGTTCTGTAACTTGGGATGCAACACTGAAATTTCCCCACTGTAGGACAAAAAAAGGATCTCTACATCTTAATCTTAACTTGTTCCTGGCTTTAAAACAGTTTGGATCATCACTAGTTTTCACATTTGCGTGTACTTTTGGCCTTTAGAACTTTTTCAGACAGAAAAAATAGAGGATCAATCATCTCTGAGCCCAAACCGTCAAATTGTAGCTCAAATGGCTCTTTTTTTGCAAGTATACAAACAATAACCTGTTTTACAGTAAGATAGCCAGACAGCTTGTTGTGGTCTAATTTGTTCACAACATTTTATAGATTAGATGGTGTCTTGGATAGTGTTGTACTTTGAGTTGCTAGATATGCATATGAATGGTGTTCAAGTTACAAAAAACAAAAAACAAAAATCACTCAAATCTTGAATATTGAAATAAAATACTTTAAAAGCACAATAGTGGAAATTCACTTGTTTTTGCAATGGAACATATTGATTGGATGGTCGTCATTTAGTTTTGATGTGTCAAAAATAGCGGTGGTTATTTTCAATATCACGTCAGACTGTGTCAACATTCAGAAAGGTTCCCCATCTATATTTAGCGTACAGTGTATACATAACATATTGCAATGAGGTCTCGTTTAGTGGTATCATTTTCTCTCTGCTCATTGATGTAAATGGCTCGAGCAGTTCAATAAAGAGGCTGCTCAGTGCTTCTTATAGATGTGGTGCAGCGCAGATGAGAACCGGGGAATCGCGCTTGAATTATTGAGCCCTTCTGATAAAAATAGGCATGGAAAGAGACCGTATGAAATATTCAGGAGCATATCTTAAACCAGTTTGAGAGTGTTTTCAGCAGACGAACAGCATGCAGCTCTCCTCACCCCCAGGAGGTAGACAATTTACATTACAAATTGGGTTTTTTTAAGTTTTGGGATAGTGTTTGTTTAACGTTCCCTGCCCACAAACTTTCATTGCAGATGGTTTGAAGAATCAGTCCACGAGATGAAAAGAAACAAAATTGTGTTCAGTTGTTTTGAAGTGTAGTTGTTAGTATCTCATCTCTATTTAATGCCAAGAGCAATGAGATGTGAAAAACAAGATAAGTCTGAAATCTGTTTGTACTCTCCAGCTGAAGCCAAATTCTGCAACAGGAGGCTCTTGATTGGTCAGTTGTTTAGGCTCGTATCTTGGTTTGTAATACCACATTATAAACAGCCGGATCACAGAATCATTGAGCGAGTAGCATAGCACTGTTTTATGTATATTCATAAATATAGATATAATTTATACCTATATACAGTCTTTGTTGGGAGTTCCTTGCCTTTATAGATACTGTAGATGTTGCAAATAGTTTAAGCACGTCACACAGAATGACGTGTATTATACCAACACATTTTAAACCTTTATATATTGTTTGGCTGTAAAGAATTTTGGGACTGAGAATTGCTGGAGACTGTAGATAAATGCATTTAATGTTGAAACTTGTCCGCCCTTTTCTGACTTCTCACCCAACGGTTGCCTTATGTAACTTTCATTGTGCTATTTTATTGAATTTTCCATCATGTTATATATTTTAGCCTCGTCTTATTAGGAATGACGCTGACATGACCTCTATTCACATCATTTGTAAAGTCTTTTACACAACTGTCAGGGACATCTATCAACAGCTGTGTAATCTGACAGTGTTTATTGATTTTAGTGAAAAGTGCAAAAACCATATAAAAAGGGCTAATAGAGATAGAAAAAGAGGGAGAATATCGATGAGACATAGCCAGGCGAGTAAATTGAACCTTTCAACGTATATTTCCGTCCCTATTTACTACAGCTTATGGGTAGACAGTGAATGAGTCTATTCAATACCACCACACTGGAATGTTAAAGGTCTAATGATCATTGTTCATTTGAGGACAGTGGAGTCAGGAGATGGGACGGAAAAACATACCATAATAATTATTTTTATTGATCACAGTTGGTGCCAACCACATAAACGGTCCCAATGATTTCAGATAGACTCAGCTATGGTCAATACATTCCATGGAACCGATGAGTCATACAAGGACAGCCCTGGCTTTCACCTCATTTTAGAGATTTATATGGCAGCTGCATTTAACTAATGGGTCCTGGAAGTGAAATTACCAACAATGTAATTCTCCCATGGATGGAATTTCAAAAAGATACAAAATATAGAATAACAATAATCACAATACATAAGAAGCAGTATTATGTATGTAATGGTATTTAAAATACTTTCTTCGGACAGAAATAAATGCAAACTGGTCTGGCTATTGCTGGTATAATATTAGACTTAAACGTATGATCACAGCCAAAATTACCATGTCTTAATAATCTAATCATAATTACTATTATTGTATAACGCTTTTCAGGACTCTTAAAGATGCTTAACTTGTCATTATTCTTTCACTCCATACACAGTGGTGAAAAACTACTACTGTAGCCACAGCTGCCCTGGGGCACACTAACAGAAACCAGCCAACCAGCATGTGCATCAGCCCCTCTGACAACCACCATCCATTCTCAAACACACACAACCATTCTCAAACACACACACACAGACACACGCACACACACACCAGACTCATTCCAGGCAATGTGAGTGAAGTGTCTTGCCCAAGAACACAATGACAGTTTGGCACTTTACAGCCACAGCCGCCCCACTGTGGTGTTCCCAGAGGTCTCCCATCACAGAATAAACCAAGCCCTGCCCTGTACATCTTCAGAGCTATGACAAGATCTGGTTTTCGCCAGAAAGTAGTTTTCATGATTATTTTACCCTGAAGCAAACACTTTCACAAAACTAAATCCATAAGAGTTTTAAAATGTGTAAGACTTATGCATCTGTCAGACTTTTAAGACATTTATTACATCAAGAAGATTTATGGAATTCTGTGGCAACCATTAATGCATATCCTAATTCTTACAGGAGTTTCATCTTATTATGTGCAGAAAAAGTGATTCTAAGCATATTCACCACTCTCTTACGAACATTCTAATTATTCACAGCAATGAGTATGTGAACACTTTTCACAACTAAGATGAGAAAAAATGTTAAAAATGACACAGAATATAGGACAAACAAACAAGAACAGAGTTGTACTAGATTTTTTTTAAATAATTCAGACTTCATTTAGATTCAGAGTAACTGGAAGAACTAATCAGCTCTCAGTTTGGCTATAAGTACAACTTTTACTTAAAACTGCTGAATGAATGAAAAGTCTATTTTTCTTTTCCTCAAACTATAGATGTTCAAAATCTTAGCTTCATATGGGAAAGTAATCATTGGTACAAAAGCCCCCAAAACAAACTTTTGACATGAAGTCCCACCTACAGTAACAAACTACCTTCCAAGCAACACCATACCTTAATTAAAAAACTGCATGTGAAATGTGACCCCTCAGACCTGAAGATAAGCAGGCCAGGGTTGGTACTGTGATGGGAGACCTCTTGGAACACCAGGGGCTGCAAAAAGCCAGATTGTTGTTGTGTCCTTAGGCAACACACTTCACCCACATAGTATTAGTCATAGTGATTGGTGATGCACCACTCTGCATGCAGGTGCAGCTCCTCACCTTTGGGTTTGACTTTGAACGCAGCAAAAATCTCAATCCTCACGTCGCGTCTGGACGGAAACACTCAGACTGGTGTTTTTCCTGGACGAGCCCCCGCGGTGTCTGCCCCATCTCTTTCACCGTCACAGAGGAGCCGGTGAGGGGTTCAGGTGAGGTTATGTGCCCATTCTCCAACACAGTGTCAACTGATGGATGAGTGCAGAGAAAGTGGCACTGAACAAGAATAAAACAGGACAGTAGGGAGCGGGATGCTGTCAGGGAGAGAAGGATGACCCACAGTATGCCCAAAGGTGCTGTAAGAGTACATGAACCAATGATCAGACTGTGAAGAGGTAATTTAGGCTGTAGCTGCTCTTTACACTCAACAGCACAAACAGAAGCATGTGGAGGAGATGTGCAAAAGTGATAATAATTATAAAAAATAATACGTAATTGTTCCTTTTTTTTTAAATCATCATGAGGGAAATGGAGATGTGGGGAAGAACAAGGGGACAAAAAGTCAAATGTATGCAAATGCTGCATGCCAACCATTGCAAAAAGGTAAATACAATGTAACACTTGAATAAAAATGTATCACAAAAAAATAATAATGCAACATTTTCTAAATTCAATACACAGTGCTGATAAACTGCTCTAATAGTCAAAGAAGCAAGGCCCCTCTGACCACCACCGACGATTCACACACACACCAGACTCATTCTAGGCAATGTGGGTGAAGTGTCTTGCCTAAGGACACAACAACAGTTTGGCACTTTACACCCGCCCCACTGTGGCCCCTGTTGTTCCCAGAAGTCTCCCATCACAGTACTAACCAGGCCCTGCCCTTCCAGGTTTCCTATACACTGTACGTTTGACAACTTAAGGCAAAATGGCTCACTTAGGTCCAGGGAGTGTACTTGTGTTCCTTTAGCCTGCAGGTCATTAGTCATAAGGCAGATTCATAATTTCCATTGGTGACTGGTGTGTTCGTCTATAGGTGTGCTAATAGTATTTTAATAAACACACTCCGTTAGAGTATCCCCTGCAGCTTCACATCCTGCAGTTTCACCCGTACATGATATTTTCTCTAATAACCATAACCAATGGGGATACATAAACAGCGAAAGAGGTGAAATGGGCTCAAACGTTGACATAAAAACTAACTGCAAGAAGAAAATAAGGCAAATGCATGATCTCAGATATCAAGACATATTGTTGCACAGAAGAAAAATATTTTGAATGCATGCGATTATTATAATGTTGCATCTAATGGAAAGCAATGACGGCGACGGCAGGAAGATGACACTCAATACATGAGATATGTTCATTGCCTGATTTTGCCTAAAGGTAAACTGTGTTGCTTTTCTGTTGGCCACCTGCCCTGTTTCCATGGTAATTTTTACACGCTCGACGTTGCATTAAACATGTTCATTGGCCATTTCTAGTCATGGCTGGTTATGTTACACACACAAAAAACAGTTTATTAATAACAAATCTGTGACAAAATGACATGAGGATTGAGTGCTTCGGCGATCAAAAAATTTAGAACAAAAGTGAGGAATCAGATGCTCCTCCAGGATACGTGGGATAATAGTATGAAGAACATGGAGATAAAGATAAAAATCCCTTTATTACTATAGGGACTTAATAAATACAATAATAGTAATAAGGTTTTTTTTATCTTACAAATCAAAGGGCCTCAGACCTCTTTGTTCTGCACAAATCTGGAACAGTCTTGTCCCTTGAGTTACATGTATTTTTTTTATTTTATTTTTTTTATCCCTTTCCTATCTTTAGATCATCTTTTCCAGACAAAAAAAAGTGACAAAGAGAAGACCACCCTCTCAGCTCTCAACCTAATGGTCAAATAGTGACTTACAGGAATCTATGCAAAATTCTGACAAAGACATTTTTGTTTTGTTCAAATAATATTACAAAATTCTATCTGTTGGGACTAACAAAATATTATTATCGGATTGGATTGGATTTATTTTTGGATGATTGTTTATGTGATGAACAAAAAGGATTTGGCTGAAGCAACTTTCTTATGTAAGCCCATCTTGACATCAGTATTCATGAATATATAAAATTTGGAATCCCAACTTTTAAGTGAACCGTACCCTCCAGCAAAACATTATACGGTCTTGTGCTCAGGCTGGATGTGGCTTTTATGTGTTTATTTTGCTCTCATACTCTCTTTATTGTGACCAATTTTAAGTAGCCTACTGTCTGTTTCAGATTTACGTTGTTCTTCTTTGGGTTCTTTTGGTAAGTTTCACTCTGCAAGTTTCCTCTTTTTCTGGTGGGCTTCATTTGGATGCGGCTCAGACTGGGGAGAAGACAGGAGGTGAGCGAATTATATCGTTATGTAGGAGGATGGGGAGGATGGAGTGATGGGAGAAAGGAAATAGGAGACAGGAATAAAATGGTTGTACGTGTATCCGTGCGCGGCGGCATAGAAAGGGGAAAGCCCGGCAGATCTTATCTACTGGGGAAATTGCAAAGCGGACGATTTATTGCTTCAAGTGTAATTGGGTTCAGCCAATACCAGGTGGGGGGAGAGAGGGGATCTGAGGTTACTAGGGATGACTCCTGAGTCCAGACTGGGAATGACTCCCTGGTCTAGACCCGGGATGTCACGATTTCAACAATTAGAATCAGGATTTCAGTGAGAAGGAACATCAGGATTTGAGAATTATTCACAATTAATGAATCTTTAACCAATTCATCACAGCAACATACATCATATCAAACTTCTGTTGCAAAAAATCGGCTTGAAGTAAATCACACTATTTATCTTCATTTCAGTTTTTCATTCGTGATTCGATTGTTCTATGATTGACTACTGAAAAAGAAAAAAAGTCTAACCCCCTATTCCTCTCACAAGAAATTATTTTTTAGTAAGTAGTCTGTATTATGCATCATAAAGGATAAATAATATAGACAGCTTGTGGCCCACCCCATTCGAAGAAAAAATCTACAACTATGGGTGCCTCCCAAGTGGCACCTCAAGCAGAAAAACCTCAGTCTTAAGTCATCATGCCGAATCCACAGCAGTTTAACAGACCTGGTTAAAAAGAAAAACCTCATTTCAGTGTTGAGCCAAGAGCCGTGTTTTGAACTGGGGTCTGAAGCAGTTTTGAGTGCTCTATATGTCAAATGGTCTCACGGTGTATTTCCACTTCCACTTTAGCGAACTATAGCGAATCACGTCAGAATGCAAAGATGACAGCCTGCCTCCTTATGGCCCTGATTGACAGCCAACTGCCCAGCACCTGTTCTGTTCACTTGGTCGTTTTTGGCAGTGAAAGCATTTGCAAAACAATACAATATAGGTTATCTAAAAACTCACAATTATCTTTTTGTTCCCAGGGTTTACGATCAACAGAATAAGGTAATCACCTTGAGTTCAGACCAGGGTATTGCCGAAAGAAGCGGGACAAACTCCATCGCAAAACAAGGGCTCCAGTGATATAACAGCAGAAAAGGAAGCTGCAGAAGTGCTAATGAGACTCTGGGAAAATCCTCCATACTTAGCAGCTCTGTCTCACGCGGGTGGAGTGGTTCTGGATTACATGGAAGCACTAATATTAGCCTTGTTATAAGCACTGTAGATAAATCCAGTCTGCTACTAAATTTCTGCAACGCTTGGCTACTTTTGTAAGGATTATGTTGTAAAAAGAGGAATAGCTTTGCATTGTGACGGATTGACAAGGATAGAGATCAGGGTTTTGTGAGTATATACGCTGATAAGAAGTGCTGTAATATGTATATCGTGAAAATCAACTTTTTGAGGTTTTAACCACCTTCCAACATTGTTCCCTCATCCAAATCAGACCTGGAAATATTTTTTGATCCATCCATCCATGCTAATGTCGGGATCTTCTGGCACAAACTTGCAACTCCACACCCTCTCTCTAAAAGCTTCTGTCTCAGTCGTGTTATAGAATGATGTCATTGTGCCACTATGACATCACACTCAGAGCAGTTTTTGCCTTTAAAACAAACATTCAAGGATTTTCTGTAAATTAGTTCAAGTTTTAAATTAACAAATAATAGCATAGGGACAGGGCCCGCCAACATGTTTTCCTTTGAAACTTCTTTGACCTTATTTCTACATTATTATTTCACTAAAACATGACAAATAACCAAAAATAAGGCCAAATATGTCTTCTTTAAATCATCTTTCTCTTTAAACCTTCAGCTTTTACAGCCTTTCGTTGAAGCATTGGTTGTGTTCCATAACAAAACGATTCAAATGAATGACAAGACAATTTGTGTCCATGTGAAAAATTTCTGTTTGAATGTTTAAATTCCCTAGTCATTCCATAATGTCAATAGGAACGCTTTGGATGACGATAGCAGCGTAACACAGTGCTTCTGAGGTTTCCCTGGTGCAGCACCGATATATATTTATATATTTATGAATGTGTGAGAGCAGCCCACCTCCTCCGCAGTGCGATTCCCCGCTCCCTCAACACAAAGGCACACTGCAGAACGGAGAAGCCTGGTCCTGCATACCAATCAGCAGATAACAGTCCCGACAGCAGGAGAGACCAGGGAAACATGGGACAACACCCACATCATTTACACTCACTCTAGTTGTATGCAATCACAGGTAACAATGCTGCAAGATTAGGCGCAATTGAATCAAAATTGCAGTTTTGGTGGCCACAATTTGCAGAAAATGCAACAAAACAAAAGAAATCTGAAACGCTTTCATTATTTTTCCTTCCTTTTTGCACATTCTGATCCTATCTCTGCCAAGTCTGGCATATTAATTTCTCCATTGTGAGATCAATAAAGTATCTTATCAATGCTAACCTGCTCCATGACACCCAATAGGGAAGTGCTCATATTGTTTGGGTCCATTCACATTGTAATATAATGTAAATAGAGCCACATTTAATTAGTAACTCACTCTGTATAATCTGTCTTGCTTATTACAACATAACCTTGATATAAAAAAAATCCTACATCATGCCTCAAAATGTATCTGTCTATGGTTGCAAAATTGTTTGTCGGTCAGCTTTACTGATAGACTGTAAAGCTGGGATGCTCATCACGTATGCAGCTAAATATATGATGCTTGGAGGGATGTGGTGAAATGCATCCGCCTCCCGGCTCTCAGCTCTGCCGTCAATCATCTCCGTTCAAAGGGGTCCTCGTTCCTAGGCTTCCCCAGCGAATGAGGCGTGTCGCTGGGAGGGCAAACGGGGGGGAGGCGCGGGGCTGGAAGATTCTACAGCTCCCTGCTCAGGCCTGATAACGCTATCGACCGCTGCTAAAAATGGACGCAGAATTGATTCCCAGCTCATGAGTGTGTCTGATTTGAAAGCACAATTATTCCAGTCTACATACGCTTTGCTCTGTGCTGTGCAGACAGGAGGCTTTTGAATAACTTGAATGAGTGAAATGAAAGTCAAAGGGAAGAGCTGGATGTGTCTTTGTTGACGTTTGATATCCTGCAGTGGTTTTGTGAAAGAGGAGGGAATTCATAGACCACCTGGATACATTTTGTTCAGGTGCAAACTTAAAATGAATCGACTCAACTTAGGGATAACTTCAACTTTCTGCCACTCTCCAGAATAATAAAATGTATATCTTAAACTATATGAACAAAACAAGAACTTATCAACTTCCTCAAACTTGCAGAACTCTCATTTATCTGAGATTAAAAGGTTGTGATCTGGAACTGGTCATTGGTTTGTGATTATTGAATTTACTGGGTTTGAAATGTTTGATTCCCTGATCTATTGTTGGCGAATTGACTTTGTAAATTCTGAGATGACTACTGTTGAGATTTAGGGACACAACAGCAGAAAAATAAATTGAATGGAGAATATCCCCATGTGCTTCTGTAATTCAACAAAAAAAATAAACTTGTAATGGTTATAATGTTAATGATTATGGCCCACAGCTTGTAAATACACCAAAGAAATATTTAGAAAATTGACTGTGAGCCATAGTCCTCCAAATTATAACCAGCAAAGGCTTGGCATATGGTTGGAATTGAATTTGAAATTACAGAAATAAATGAACTTTTGAACAATAATCTAATTCACAAAGTTTCATCTGTAGAAGTGCCTCAACTCCTCAAACCCAAATATAAACGTGGAGTTTTTGAATGGGACTGCTTATTGAATGCCAATTTGTGTTTTCACAGTCACAACCATAAGTCATTGAGTAAATTAAGTAGCTGTGTAAGATCACTCTGAAATTAGACTAATGTAACTTTGCTTGGCATAGAGCTCATCTCCAGGAGCTTAGACAAAGAAAACCCTACACCAGAAATATTGCATGTATGACGGTATTTTTTTGCTGGTTGAGAGAAATGTTCTTTGAATTTTGAATATGAATATAAGTTATTCCCACCCCTGCTCACATGCCTCCCTCCTGAATGGTCAAAATAATAATAGCACTACGTTGATTGTCATACAAGCCCCTCCCCATTGGTTTATATCTATCTTACTGGCTGTGGTTATCCATGACTTTTAACTCGTTTACTTTACATTATAGTACAGGGCCACGTAACCAAAGTGACTGACATCACCTGGATCACATTGTGCAAAACTGATCTGTTAACCAACATTGATCAAAAACTTGAACTTGTTTTAGCTTCATCTTCGTTATAACATCAAGAATTTGCATTTTCCTCAGACTTGCTACATGTTTTACAAGCTACGGAACAATATACTTAAACAAATGAATGAACAGAAATACAAAATATAGTTAGTTCTGTGCATTTCTGCTGTCAAATTGCATTCATTACAACTTACTTACACAACTATCATTTCATATATTTTATTTCCACACATACATACAATAATAAAGTTATTAAAAAAGACAACGACCCCAAAGTAAAGATGTTGTATATATCAATGTGTACGGCCAAAAATATACACATATAATCATACATTTTTATATCCTTGGACCAAGAAGACAGGCCATTCCAAGTGCGTGACTGTTGTCTCGCCTTAGATAAACCGGGCGTGGCTCTGAGCTCTCTCTTTCATCTCTGTCCTCATCTCCTCCTGTCTGCCCTTGACTGCAGCTGTAAATCTAACTCCATCGTCGCTGATTGGAGATAATGCCGTCACTTCAGACTGCACAGGGGCAAAATGGCGTCAGCGTTCCGTTTGATTTGGTTTGGTGTCGGATCATTTTGGGGAGGCGAGATGGGAGGGCATGATTTGAACAGCTCGGGCACTAGATCACAGTGTATTTGGAAGAATAAAAATGTCAGTCTTCATTGAAACCACTATGAGAAGTTATAGGTGTATGTTTAAAGAGACTTTGAGGAGCGGTGGGTGACTTTGAAATCTTTCTTGAGCTTTAGCTTGAGCCATTATCTCAGCCTGGGCTAACTGGATATACACCTATTGTGCTTGTTGATATGGGAGTTTAAGGCTTTAAAACTTCTAGACTCAGAATAGTTGCAGCCGAAGCAAGAGGGCTGCTTGACCTGTGAGTAATGTTTATTTCTATCGCGCCTTTCACAGACCAGAGTCACAAAGCACTTTACAATTGTTGTGGGCATTTGTCTCTCACTCCACACAGAGATGGAAGCGGAGTTCCTGTACAAGAAGAGCATGCCAGACCTATTGTGGGGGAAACCGGACAACCAGGAGGAAACCTACCACTTCTCTGTGGTAAACCTAAACATTTTTAAAACCTTCACCCTTTGATGCAGTCCCTTCCCTTGGTATAACTGTCACCGATAAGATTTCCTATGGTTTCTTAAGTTTGTTGAGGATTTGAATTTGTTGCGTCTGATCAGGAATTTGAGGGGGCAGGTCTTCATGGCTCTTGCATTCAAAAAAACATCTCTCCATTTTCACAACTTGAGCCAACATCTCAGCTGGGGCTAACTGGATATACGCCCATTAATCTTGTTGATATGGGAGATCAAGGCTTTAAAACTTCTAGACAGAGAAAAGTTGCAGCTGAAGCAAGATGGCTGCTGACCTGTGAGCTCCACATGAACTCTGTGGTTAACCCGATGCAGAGCCATCCTGCTGTTGGGAAGGACGAGGCCCTGAGCCTGGCGGTTATTATGGCAGAGTTGAAAGCTTTATTAATTAGGGCTCGTTCGGGTGGTACTGATGCATGGATGAATGCAGATACACAACTGGTATTTTTTTTCAAACGTGTGTGTGAAGATATGTGAGATGTGTCCTGCTGGTTTGAAAATCATTTAATAGATGTACGTATAGATAGATAGATAGATAGAAAGATAGAACTGTTCACTTCTTTCTTGAGATGGAACCTCAACCATGTGTTCCTTCTTCATAATGGCATCTATTTTTATTAAGTGCTCCACTCCCACCCCCATGCTGCAGAGTTGGGATGTTGTTCCCAGCTTTCCCCTTTTTCTACCGAATGTCAACAAGTCATTATATAAATACAGTGGGTTTTGGATTATAATCAGTTCCACTTTAGACCACTAGCATGCCTTCAAAAATCAAGTCTTTCTTTGACTTCGAGTGCTATTTTAGATTATTGGCCAGTTCTTTACAGAGCTGTTGTTCAGCCCATGTTTGTCCTGGTTTTTTTCTTTGGATAAGGACATATTCTCATCAGCTTAAGCCAACATCTGCAAATTCACAAGTCCTTGTTCTATAGCTTTTGTTCTGGGTTTGACAATTTGGAACAAAACATGGCTGGATACCCCGCTTTCTGTGTGGAGTGGGAGACAATTGCCCACAATTGTAAAGAGCTTTGTGAGTCTTGTTTGTGAAACTAACCCTATATAAATAAAGATGACTTACTTACTGACTTACTTACCTACTAAAGTTGAATGTGGCGCCTTTAAAAAATGTTTTACTTTCACCCAGATCAATCCAGATCTACAATTAGGGACATCTGACAAAAAAGAAAAGCCGGGTGTTGGAGATATGGAGTCTTTAAATGCATAGCAGTGTCCCTCCAATGACAATGAGTGAGGACAATTACCTTCCTCACTCAGTGTTTTGGTATTTAGCCAATATGAAAGAAGTGAAATTAGAGCAGAATACATTTCGCAAGCTAGGTTTGTCAAGACAAAAGCATCTCTTTAAAACTGACATTAATTCAGCGCAGACATTTTCAGGCATGTTAGTGGGTTTAATACATGAATTATTACATTGGATCCAGTTTGTTGTAACTTTGTTCTTTCTGTGCCGGCTCTGCCTCTCACACTTAGCACCTATGTGGGTGGGAAAGATGCCGCCAACATCACCCTGAACAAAGAGAACATCATTATCCGATTTTTACATAATGTGCTCACGTGTGCTGAGGTCCAGAGTGGAGGAAAAGCATTTATTTTTTAAGCAGAAACTATCATTGCACCCTCTGGTCTCTAGCTTCCATCTTGAGAATTACATAACTCCGAAAGCTCTGGTTGGCGAACGGGGGATTTGCATGGCTAAATTACATAATACTGCACAGGGACTTTAATGTATATTTTAGAAAGAATTAAATATTCACGAGCAAAAAGCTGCTTCACTCGTCATGCGGCGTTTTAAGGAAGTAAAATAAGTGATACATTATTTATCAGCTGAGGTTAAGTAGAGCTGATGTGAAGAAGCCATTATTGTCAGGGAGAGCGACACAGAAGTAGAAACACCATTTTGAAATCAGAGTAATTAGTTTATGGGGTAATCTCAGAATAGCATAATAATCTACAATATTTTACTTTTTTGTTATGTTATAAAATAAACAACAGAATACAAACACACGGGTCCAGGACAACACTACAAAGGAAGAAACACAACAATGGTGAAGAGCAGGGAATCACACTCACAACTCAGACGGAAACACAGAACCTGCTATAAAAATGCACCAGCAGAGAGATTTTGTGTTTAAGATTTCCAAAACATTTATTTTAATTCATATTCATTAAACTGGTCCAGTAGGGCGACAGTAGCTCAGTTGGTAGAGCACTGGCCTTTGAGCCTGAAGGTCGTGGGTTCAAGCCCACCACGGGACCTTCTCCACCGACTCCTACTGATGACTGCTGTCGTTGTGTCCTTGGGCAAGACACTTAACCCTGCATTGCCTGAATCCCCCGCTGAAAAATCAAGGCTGTATTGTCACTGACAGAGCAGCCGTCCTCCTGTGGACTCACCACCTGCAGAGGATCAGTGAGGGGCTGGTGCTAAGTGAATTGGGTGCAGCTCTGACTGCCACCCCCCCGACCCAGAAATGGATTAAGGGGAAGAAGATGGATGGATGGATGGATAAACTGGTCCAAGCAACGTGCTTTGAATAACACAAAAAACATGGACACAATGGGAGCAGGTGACATGGGTCGTAAGGGGAATCGATCCCACGACCATCAGTGCACTACCAACTGAGCCACTGTCGTCCCTGTATGAACCGTGCCATACCAAAAAAACTTGCCTTACCTTACCTTGCATTGTTGAGTTCTGTCAAAATAGTTTAACATATTATTTGTATGCAACAGTATGAAAATGTTGAAAAGTTAAGCGAAAACTATTTAACATTCATAAAAAAGTATTTACCGGAACATTTTGAGGGCAAGCTACCTTCAGAGATAATGTCCATGCAGAAAGAATATAAATGCTAAAGTTATGCTTGGGTTTTGGTTCATTACTTGAAATGATCCTAATAGGAGAAGATGAAAGCCGCACACGGCCTGTTCCCAGATTCACATCCCTGATATAGAAATGCTGCTACTAATGGCTCTTAGTAGCAAAACTGAAGGAGACTCACAATATAAGAAAACTCCGGAAAGTAGCTTCTTGTAGCAGTCAGTATAGACTGAATATGCAACATGAATTAGCTATGAATAGTTACATACAGTACAGTTACATACAATACACACAAATACAGATGATGCTCGGGAAATTGGATGTAGACTCATTACATGCAAGTGACATATGCCAAGTCTTTATTTGTTTTCTTTGAAATGATTATGCTGCACAGGCTATTCTAAATGTCTGAGATGTTAAATTTGGGGGTTTTACAAGCTGTGAGCAAATTATCAACATGTTTTGTGGTCATGCGTGCACTTTGGAAATGTTCTATGGCTTAAATGTGGTTTGTTATACGGCTCTTCACAGTAGTCCATCCATCCATCCATTTTCTTCCGCTTCATCTGTTGCCGAGTTGCGGGAGCAGCAGTCTGCCCAGATTTCCCTGTCCACATCCTACAGCTCATCAGGGGGGACCCCAAGGCGTTCCCAGGCCAGCTGAGAGTCATAGTCCCTCCAGCGTGTCCTGGGTCTTCCCGGGGTCTTCTCCTGGTGGGACATGCACGGAACACCTCCCTGGGGAGGCATCCAGGCGGCATCCGGAACAGATGCCCGAGCCATCTCAACTGGTTCCTTTCGACGTGGAGAAGCAGCGGTTGAGCACTATGGCCTTGGATTGAAGGTACTGATTCTCATCCCAGCCGCTTCGCACTCGGCTGCAAACCGTCCCGGTGTGGGACATGGCCTTTTAATGCACCCTTGTTTTTATTGCATGTTTTTATTAGATTTGTGTTTATCATTACTGCATGACTTCATTGATTGTTTTTATTTAACGCATGATTTTATTGGGTATGTGTTGAAGTTATGTGTGCGGTGTAATGGAGTGCAGGCCCACCCACAAGTCTGTCATTGGCACTGCGCACCTGCGGTACATGTAGGACAATTATGACAGACTTTAAAAGTGCTGGGAGGACATGGCAAGGAGCGCAAAAAGAAGGAAAGGGAAAAGGCACGGGAGCTACAGCGCCGCGGGACAAGCCACAGCGCCGCGGGACAAGCCACAGCGCAGCGATACGAGAGAGCAGAACACGGGGCGGCACAGCACACTACCGGGACCTGGACCACAGTAGTCGCCTTCGCCTCACGAGTCCACAGAGAACACCACGAAGCTGAACTACCGCAGAAGGCAGAGGACGCTCTGCCTTTGCGTGTAAGTATCTTAACACATTGAGTAGTGGTGTTCAAGAAGTAGCCTTTGGCGGGGGGACTCTTTGGGGCGTGTGTGCGCTTTCTGTTTGGTTGTGCTCTGCCTCCAGGGTCCGTGGTGAAAGCTCGGCCTCGCTGGACCCGGCTCGCTAGAAGAACCTGGACTGACCAGCTACGCGTTGGGACCTGTTTTTTAATTGACCATTTTAATCTCCTCTTGCACTGACTGGTTTTATGGCACCCGCCTGCTCATTTTAACATTTTTTTATTGTAATAAATCTTTATTATCGTAGTACCTGGTTTATTTTGCACTGCTCACTCCAGTGATTTTATACCTGTGTTTTAAAATAGGTCCTAGGTCCTCAACCTAGGTGGCGTTGCTGACCTTTTAACTTGTAATTTGGTTTTATGATAAATTAATTTATTCCTTTCCTCGGTCACAGAATCTGGCGTTCGCTGGCAGGATCACAGGTTCGTGAGCAGTGTTTTAAACCAGAGTTTTTATTTATTTTTGGAAGTTTTTAACATAAATTTTTAATCATGATGATGATGCCAATTTACCCAGGGGCTCCATGGGTGCCTAAATTTGAAGGCCAAGATGGGAATTTGAAGTACTCTGAATGGAAGGAGCAAATACAAGGTCTTTTGGAGTCTAACAATTTGGCTGAAGCTCAAAAAGTTAAAATTGTAATTGGGGCATTGTCTGGGCTGGCTAGAAGGCAGATTAATGTACTGGCTGAGGATGAGCGTGACCGGGTTACCAAAGTGTTTGCAGCACTTGATCAGCTTTATGCGAAAATCATCCCTCTGTCTGTTGTACGGTCTCAATTTTTTGGTTGTGTGCAGAAGCCGGGAGAGCCTGTTCAATCGTATGTACTGCGTTTAAAGGAGCTGTATCGTAGGCTGGAGGAACAAGATACAGAACAGGCCCCGACAGACTCTCACCTGAGAGACCAGTTCATGCTTGGCCTGGAGGATGGCGCCTTATTGCGGGCACTAAAGAGAGTTGTCCGCTTGGCCCCAGACACCACGTTTAGTGCCATACAGCAAGAGGCCCTCATTCTAGAGGAAGAAAACATGGGCTCAAGGTCACCCCACGCTACCTGCGCTGCAGTAAGGGAACATAACCCCTCTAGATCTCACCCACAGGCTGAATTGTGGAAGCAGGAGCTAAAGCGGGAGATCGTAGACGAACTGAAGGACTTCACTCGTGAACTCCTCCGGGAGTTGAGACCAAACAGCCCTGTACACGTGCCCATACATCGCAACGCCCCCCAGCGCTCAACCGAAAGAAGGTACAACCCTCAGTTTGCTGACCGACGGGATGAAAGAGGTAGACCCATTTGCAGGAAGTGCAATTTGCCTGGCCACATTGCCAGATTTTGCAACATGGCTCCAGCAGATCAGCCGGTTTTAAACTAGATCACCCTACTGCCGAGGCCTATGCAGTGGGGTCTGGTCTGGGAGGAGACCAAAGGGCCACAACAGCTTTAGTGGGAAACTGCCCTTATGTGGAAGTGTCAGTAGGAGGCATTAACATGGAGGCACTTTTAGACACTGGGTCACAAGTTACACTGATACAGCAAGGTTTATTTTTGAAGCATTTCCCCAGAGTATAGTGTAAACAATGTGCCAGCCTATGTTAAACTAAAAGCAGCAAATGGCTTAAAGATCCCCTGCATAGGGTACGCGCTGATGGACTTTAAAATCGAGGGCGTTGCAATCAATCAAAAAGGTGTTTTTATTGTGACCGATGAATGCTCTTCAAATTCCTTCATAATTGGCATGAACATTATTAGATCATGTTGGGATGCTGTTTTTAATAACCCAGAGGAGCCTTTGTCATTCTCTTGTCAAAGCCCAGGGTCCCAGCAAGCGTGGAGAGATGCTTTCACCCTGTGCCAAAAGACCGCTGTCTGCACTGAGGATGGGTTCAGAGGATATGTCTGGCCAGCTCAAAGGCGAGGAGTCAGGATCCCTGCGCGGAGTGAGATTGTCATCTGGGGACGGACCAGAGCTGGACCAGCGGGGAAGGACTACTGTGGCCTAGTAGAGGCCCTTGAAGAGACTAGCGCTGTTTGTGTAGCCCGCACGCTAGTGTTCGTCAGAGACGGTAGGATCCCTGTCCGCCTTAGAAATCTGAATAATTTCCCCATTTCACTTGGACGCTACCAGAAGATTGGCCGCCTGTATCAAGTGGACAGCTCAGATGTCTATGGTGCGTGCGATGTAGACCTGATCCCCAATGGCGATGGCGAAATTGAGGTTGGGCTGGTAGAAGCAGGGGGACCTGGAACTGAGACGTTTGATATGGAAGCCCCCCTTGATAGAACAGATTTGACGCCAGAACAATCTGACAGGCTGGCCCTGCTCTTACATCATCATCATCAAAACTTTATTACAGACTCAGGGTCCAGGATAAGACACATAACACATAACACACATCACATAAAAACACAAAACAACACATGTAATCACAACAATAAGCCTCACTTCTCAGAGCAAACAGCTGTACCAGTGTCTCCACAGATCTGACTGGTACCGCATGGCACTGAATTTGACATTTGTCAGGCTTATGACAATACAATTCTGGCTTTCATTGAGCCGACAAATAAAACTGTACATCAAACATCGCATGGCGGCCTGGAATGTCCTTATTCCAGCTGACACAAACAAAGTACTTGCACTTTCCCATCGTGGCTTTTTCAATAAAATCCTCAGACAGTCATTGTATGCCACATTGAGTTTGCGGATGGTTGCTTTTTTGTATTTGGTCCATAAATGTGCCGTGTATAATGACGTACAGTATGCTTTAAAAAGTGTCTTTTTCACCTGCGCTGTACAGGCACCAAACTTGCGCACCAGCATGTTCGCCTGAACGTACAACATACGACATTGCCTGAGAATGTCCTCATCATCAGACAGATCATCACAAATAAAATGGCCCAAGTATTTATATTTGGAACATACACTTAGTTCAACACCACACAATTTAAATTGGGGAAAGTTTACATTTACATCATCTTTAGTTCTACATAACATTATCATACTTTTGCTTGCATTATACCTTACATCATACTCTACACCATACTTAGAGCAGACATTGAGAAGGTCCTGTAGACCTGCACTACTAGGGCTGAATACAGCAAGGTCATCCGCATACAACAGATGATTTACCTGGATTGGCCCAATCATACAGCCCGTTTTACATGCACTTAACTCTAAGGACAGATCATTCATATACAGGGAGAATAAAACAGGAGAGAGAATTCCTCCCTGCCGGACACCATTACTAACAGAGAATGGATCCGACATGGATCTACCCCATCTCACCTGCATTACCTGATGGGCATACCAGTATACTAAAACTCTCACAATATAACGAGGCACCCCTCTCTCGTTCAGCTTTGAGAATAATTTCCAGTGATTTACCCGATCAAATGCTTTAGATGCATCGATAAAACACAGAAGAACAGATGATGTTTGACTTTTATATTTTCTTATTATTTCCTTGAGAGCAAATATGCATAAATCTGTACCATGTTTAGATTTAAAGCCAAACTGGTTGTCTGTGGAGCAGATATAATCTTGTAATCGAGATAACAGTATTTTCTCCAAGACTTTAGACAATATGCTTGCCAGTGCGATTGGTCTATAATTGTCCAAACTACCCATTCTACCAGCTTTATCCTTTAAGACTGGGACAAGCGTGACAGAGAGAAGTGAGTCTGGGAGAATTCCATGTGTCAAACAGCTAGAGAAGCAAATGGCCAGCAGAGGACAAAGTCTTTTGCTGGCATGTATCAGGTGCTCAGCATAAATGTTATCAGCACCACAGGACTTATTAGCCGGTAACTTTTGAATTGCTTGATCCACCTCATGGGCACTTATGGGTACATATTCACTTTGGTCAATTGTGCCAGCATTAAACATATCACTGTGGACACAATTGAACAGATTATAATAATGTCGTTTCCAGCATCCAACTATGTTTTCTGAGCCAGAGATACCATCTACAGTGCAAGGTAGAGATGTTTTACTACTGTTGAGATTTCGCACCTCTTTCCAAAAATCCATAATATTGCTGGATGTAAGTTTACTGGCCAATGAATCTGACCTCATACTTTGTTCATTTCTTGAGATAAATCGAATAGCATATTTGTATCTGGCATTGGTAATCTTTTTATTCTCAAAAATAGTGCCATGTCTCGGTCTCCCTGCTACAGTCCATTCTCTTGTAGCTTCCCGTGCTTCCTCGTAATACCCAGCTACATACATATTCCAGCCTGGTCGCTTTTTGTGATTATGTTGAACTTTTTTATAAAAACATTCACTACTTTTAGACAAAACACTGATAATATTATCATAAAAACTACAGATATCCATTTTATGGTCCACTTCAACACAATTAGTGTCAGTACATCTAATAGCATTGTGTGGAACATGTATACTGCTTAAAAGTTTGTCAGATCTAGTAAAATAGGACAGGAGGTCTTCCTGTGTACAAGCTGTCCAGTCCAGCCTCCCCTGCTTAACTGGGCCATTGTGTGTTGTCAGTCCTGGTAACTGGTCAACGTGTATATTAAAAGAGATAGGAATATGATCTCCAGTAACAACACTGTAAAGTATTTGCATAGATGCCAGGGAGACATGTGCATCAGCTGTACTTATACAGTGGTCCAACCATGAGGTTGTATGCCAAGCCTCACTAATATATGTGTAGCTCTTTATAGGAAGTAAACATCTGCTAGATAGAATATAGTCATGATCCTCACAGAATTGTAGCAAATGTTTACCAAATAAGGAAGTCATGTCTGCAATGTCTGCATTCATGTCTCCTACAATGTAAACACTAGATACAGGGCTGTCTTCAACAAACGCATGCAAAAAGGCCAGCTTATCTAAATATACATCTTCATTTTGTTTGCACTCATACGGAGTGTAGACATTAACTATTATAAATTCTTTATCATCACAAGTAAAATGTAGACCAATACACCAGTCAACTCCAAGTCTGACAACTTTAACGCATGTATCAAGAGACTTTCTCCAGAGTATTGCCACACCCCCTGCTATTCTACCCATGACAATACTCCTGTTAAAATCAGTAGTGGACTCACCAGCCCCATGAAAATACTCATTAAACGAGTTCAGCTTTTGCAAGTCTTGTTGAGATAAAAAAGTCTCTTGCAAACACAGTATGTCGCAATTTTGCAAAAGTCCATCGACAACCAAGCGACGAGCTTTATCCGCAGCACTGTTTCCAAGCCGTAGGCCCCGACAGTTATAAGTCAGAAGACGTAAATCCATAGCTGCATTTTAGGGTACCACAGCGGTGCCATTGCGCGCACTGCCCACAGGGTCACCTGCGCCTAGCTCACCCCTGTTGTACCCCACACGACGCGGCTCATAGTACCGCCGAACGAGTGCACCCTCTGGCCACAGATCAGGGTCATACATCTCATTTACGTCATTACACTCCGCAGATATTTTAAATGAACTGAATCGATTGTGCGCCGTGGTGATCTTTTGGCATGATACATCCCGGTTGAGTTTGTTCTTTAAGTATTCCGCTAATGTTACATCCTCCAGATCAGGTGAAAATCGAGAAGCAAACACACTCACCAGTTTGGTCTGTATGGTTCGGATGCTGCCCACAGTCCCAGTGCCAACGATAGGCTTAGTGGCCCGTGGCTTCCTCCCCTGTCCCGTGCGTACTGCATTAGCTTCATCGGTTGTTGCGCGCCGGCTCCTCTTCACAACCTCACTCCACTTTGGCGACTGCTGCCCCCGTAAACTCCTCTCCGCAGCGGCCCCTGCATACACCTCCGGAGCCGGTACTGTCGGAGTCGCTGTCTCCGCTGCACTTTTCTCCCCATGGGTCAGGACCTCTTTCACAGCAGACACAAGAGGCATAGCTTGCGTCGTGACAGCTGCTACATCCACGTTAGCGGGCCAGGCCCGCTCATTGCGCTCCCTCTCCAGGGAGCACACCCGGTTGCAGATCCCGCTCGCAGCAATGCGCAGATCACTAGTAATGCTGACTTGTGAGTTCATTATTTGCTTTAAAGCGCCAACTTCTGCGGCCATCTGCTCCATTTTTGTTAATAGACATGAGACGTCCAGACTATTAAACGTGACAGGTGGGAGCTCATCCAGATAATAGGAAACAAATCTGGGAATATTCTCCCCACACTCATTTAATACTTTAAGGCAGCTTTTGATGTTGTTGGCATCTTTCTGCGCTCCCTTGTGTGTGACATTCCTTTGCGAAGAAGGGCAGAGCTCAAAGAGGGCCTTCTTGGAGGCCTCAATCCACTCGGAGTCAAATGTGTTAGCAGCCAGAATAATAATCTCATCCTGGCTCATAATCTTCATTTTTACACAAAGGAAATTGAGCAGTTCATCTTCAACAATTGTTTTCCCATCAGTTGTTTTGTATATCTCTGGTTTCAAGCAAGAGCGTTTGAAAACTGGAGCAGAGTTGTGACCAGCAGCTGTGTCAGCCATCTTGATATATCACAGAAATGGGGGACGGTGTTGTCGAAACATGAGGAGGATTTTGGTCGGACGGACGCCGTCATGCACACCATTCCCACGGGAGATGCATGCCCCACTAGGGAACGATTTAGACCCTTGCCCCCACTCATGTACAAAGAGATGAGGTCCCTACTAGCAGACATGTTAGACAAAGGTGTGATAGCCGAAAGCTCCAGTCCGTGGGCTTCACCCATTGTCATGGTTAAGAAAAAGGATGGGACCTGGCGATTTTGTGTTGATTATCGCAAATTGAATAATGTCACTCATAAAGATGCTTTCCTCTTCCCAGGATTGAGGAGACTCTGACCTCTCTCTCCAGGGCGGAGTGGTTCTCCACATTGGACCTCTCTAGTGGGTATTGGCAAGTGGAAGTTGACCCCAGGGACAGGGAAAAGACTGCGTTTTCCACGCCCCTTGGTTTGTTTGAGTTCCAACGAATGCCATTTGGCCTTTGCAATGCACCTGCTACATTCCAAAGGTTAATGCAACAATGCCTAAGTGGCCAAATCACAGAGTCCCTCCTAGTGTACCTAGATGACATTATTGTGTACTCCCCTGATTTTGACACTCACACATGAGACACCTAGAGGAAGTTTTTGAGCGCCTCTGGAGAAATGGACTTAAACTGAGGCCAGACAAGTGCAGACTCCTTCAGCGGGAAGTGAAGTTCTTAGGCCATGTAGTCAACCAGGCTGGTGTGATGCCCGACCCAGCGAAAGTGACTGCAGTGACAGAGTGGGCAGTCCCTTCCACCGTTAAAGAGGTGAGGGCCTTTTTGGGCCTGGCGGGCTATTATAGAAGGTTCATTCAGGGTTTTTCCAAAATTGCCCGCCCATTGAACTCTCTATTGACTGGCATCCCCCATGATAAAAAGTCTAGCCCTAGAACCATTGCTTGGACTGCAGACTGTCAAGCTGCCTTGAGTATTTAAAGCAGGCTCTCACTCAGGCTCCCATTCTTGCCTATGCAGACTACACCAAGCCCTTCAACCTGTATACGGACGCAAGTCACAGCGGGCTTGGCGCAGTGCTGGCTCAGTCCCAGGACGGGAAAGAGCGTGTTATTGTCTATGCGAGCCGTAGTCTACATCCTACAGAGAAGAATGATGCGAACTACAGTTCCTTCAAACTAGAGCTATTGGCGCTCAAATGGGCAATCACAGAAAAATTTAAAGACTATTTAACCGGCGCTAAGTTTACTGTGTTCACTGACAACAACCAGGCCCGGACTGGCCATCGGGAGCATCGGGAGATCTCCCGGTGGCCTGCGTGTCAAAGTGGCCTGGGCCTGCCCTATCATCACGGTCTTTTTTTGTTTTTGTTTTTTATTTAATTTCATCCTCACGGTCTTTGCAAACTCCTACCCTGCCTGGTGGCCAAGGCCCAGGCCAAAGCCAGTGTTGCGCGTGAACGAGTTCAAAAGAACGCGTTCATTGAACACGCTCATTTTTTCGTGAACGTTGAACTGAACGCAACACATTTTTAATAAAGATCTTGAACATGAATTAGTTCATATTATGTGTCATGACGGCAGACAATTTGTTTTCCATTTAAAACTGAGTGAAATCTGTTTTCTCTTTTGAAACGCAACGAGAGAAAGTTCCTCGCTCCTGTATTCTCCGCACTGTTTCCGCCGAAAACTAAAAATTCCTATGGTTTCCACCGTCTGTGAACGCACCCCGACTCAGTGTACTTGCGGTGCGGCGCATTGGTTGTTGGACTCACATGTGCCGTGATGAAAACACAGGGGTAAGTCAGTGACACAGGGCCGTTTACATTTGACATAAAGTATAGACACACGTTCTGCAGCGCATTACAGTTTGTACTTATGAGCAGAGATGGGACAACTCAGTTCCCATTGAAACCCATGTAAATCTTGTCTGCATTGGAGTCAAAACATCCTGTGCAGTGTACAGGATATAAATATATATATAATATATATATATATATATATATATATATATATATATATATATATATATATATATATATATATATATATATTATATATATATACCACGTATTGTGATTTCTAGCTCGTAGAGAAAAAAAATATTTATTTGAATATCTCGCAAAAAGTAAAATGAACTGAACTTTGAACTAGTTCAGAATTAAAATTGAGAACTTTGAACGTGAACTGTTCACTTTGAGCATGTATGAACTGAACTTGAACTAGTTCAGAAAAGCTGTGAACTGGCACAACACTGGCCAAAGCTTTACTGTCATTGGGCCAGAGCAAAATTAAACAAATGTGACGTCACACGTCGGCTACACAGCCAGGCCAGCCTAGCAGTGCACCCAGTGTAGCTTCCCCGGTTCAAATGAGTGGTCTCTCCAACTGATGGTTCATACATGTTTTTATTTTTCCTTTTATATGAGCTGTAACGATGTGATTTTACCTTACTACTTTTTTTACAATAATTGATTAGCTTGTTATAGTTATACACTAATGAACACTTAGTTCATTGTGTGTGTGTGTCTTTATTCTCACTAAACTCCATAAACGTTACGTTGCTAAGCAACGTACAACAATCCTTAAACGTCCGAGATTATATAAACAGTCAATATAAAAAAAAATAAAGAAAACAAAAGTTTTGACAGTCAATCTTAAAACTATTAAAAGAACATCAAAATACAATGACAAAAACCCAAATTTAGAACCTTGCTTGGCCTGAATGGATGAAAAGCTCCCGGCCTGAAATGTTGTCCCACTCCGGCCCTGACAACAACCCAGTTGCCCACTTGCAAACTGCTAAACTTGGGGCCACGGAGCAGAGGTGGGTCGCCCAAATGTCGTCGTTTGATTTTGAGGTGAAATATCGAGCTGGACGCGAGAATGCGAATGCCGATGCACTGTCTAGGTTTCCTATAGGATCTGCCCAGGACAGCGCCGTGACCAGTGTTGCCGCAGTGACCAGTGGAGCTGCCCAAATGGACTCCACCACGCAAGAGTTTGGAAGGGACTGGGGAGCCCTCCAAAAGATGGACTCTGATATCAGCTCTGTGCAGAGGTATGTGGAGACTGGAACTGTCCCAAGCAGAGGAGAAAGAGAAGCCCTGTCAGAGGCCGCTAAAAAGCTGCTACAGCACCGAAAGAGACTTTGCTTGTATCGAGGGATCCTCTGTAGGAAAGTGTTTGACTCTCGTACTTGTGAGCCCTGTTTCCAAATGATCTGCCCAGAATCCAGACGGCAACAGGTGTGGAAGAAATGCCATGAAGCAGCGGCCCATGCTGGAGTGGAACGGACTCTCGCTCGCATGAGGCGCCATTTCTTCTGGCCAGGCATGGAAAGGGAGGTGCAGGGGTTCCAAACGGGATGCGCGGTGTGTAGTTTACAGAAGGACAGGACTGAGCAAAGGGCCCCTCTCCGACCCATAGAGGTATCGTACCCTCTAGAGGTAGTAGCTTTAGACTTCCTCTCCCTGCGCAGACCCCATGACAGCTACCAGAATATTTTAGTCATGACAGACATGTTTACGCGTTATTCTTGGGCTGCTCCGACTCGGGATCAAACCGCCACAACAACTGTCCGTGCAATCTGGTCGAATATCATACAACACTTTGGGTGCCCGTCACGTTTCCATTCCGACCAAGGGCCAAATTTCGAATCAGACCTCATGAAACAGCTGTGTAGCATGTACGGTATTTCTAAAAGCCACACAACTCCCTACCCGGTATTACCCGGTAGTAGATGCTGTGCCAGAGCAAGCACCCAGTCGACCGGTACGAAGCACTCGAGGACTGTGCCCTGCTCGTTACAGAGACTAAAATGAACAGTGGTCCAGGGACTGGCACCGGTAAAGTGTATAGGGGGGTGTGGGACATGGCCTTTTAATGCACCCTTGTTTTTATTGCATGTTTTTATTAGATTTGTGTTTATCATTACTGCATGACTTCATTGATTGTTTTTATTTAACGCATGATTTTATTGGGTATGTGTTGAAGTTATGTGTGCGGTGTAAGAGTGCAGGCCCACCCACAAGTCTGTCATTGGCACTGCGCACCTGCGGTACATGTAGGACAATTATGACAGACTTTAAAAGTGCTGGGAGGACATGGCAAGGAGCGCAAAAAGAAGGAAAGGGAAAAGGCACGGGAGCTACAGCGCCGCGGGACAAGCCACAGCGCCGCGGGACAAGCCACAGCGCAGCGATACGAGAGAGCAGAACACGGGGCGGCACAGCACACTACCGGGACCTGGACCACAGTAGTCGCCTTCGCCTCACGAGTCCACAGAGAACACCACGAAGCTGAACTACCGCAGAAGGCAGAGGACGCTCTGCCTTTGCGTGTAAGTATCTTAACACATTGAGTAGTGGTGTTCAAGAAGTAGCCTTTGGCGGGGGGACTCTTTGGGGCGTGTGTGCGCTTTCTGTTTGGTTGTGCTCTGCCTCCAGGGTCCGTGGTGAAAGCTCGGCCTCGCTGGACCCGGCTCGCTAGAAGAACCTGGACTGACCAGCTACGCGTTGGGACCTGTTTTTTAATTGACCATTTTAATCTCCTCTTGCACTGACTGG